GCACCTAAAGTATCACATGCATCAGCATCCTCACACCAAAAAATGGCAGCTGGGGAGCTTTAACTGAAGCTCGTTGAATGAGCTCTAGTTAAGTGCTCCTGCTACCATTTTTCAGCACAGGGACACTGATACACATGATGCTGGAGTCTGCTGAAGTGTGGTAATTACCACGTTCCAACAGACTTGATTAATTGACTCGAATAATTACAGTGCATCAGAGCAGCCTCCCTGGATGTGTGTAGGAACCCTTGGAGGCTGAAGTCAATTGTCTTTTTCTTTACAGTAGTAAACACTTTAGAAGGAATCCATGTGCAAAACGTTATAGTTTTTCCATGCTTACACATTGGTCACCTCATTGTTTGGAATAAGATGGCTACCATTACCTAACAACTGTAACTCCCTAAAACTGGACTTGGATTAGAGCTGGTTAACCATTTTCAAGATTTCAGAGGAAATTCATCATCAATATTTTGAATTTGACAAAAAATGTGAAATTATTTCTGCAAGCATTTAACAAATGATCGTGCTGATTTTCACCCAGTTCCTGTTCTTGCATTCTACAGTAAAAAGATATTTCTTTAATAAAAAATGCATAAATCACCCATTATGCAAAAGATGAAATCATCCTACGTTTACACAAGACGAACATTTAAAGCCATTCATAAGAAGGCTGGGGTCATTTGACTCCAGTACATTTTCCTGCCATAGCAGGGGGTCGGACTTGATGATCTGCTCAGGTCCCTTCTGACCCTACAAACTATGAAACTATGAAATAAGGCTAACTTTCTCTCCCTTTGGAAAAACAAATAAACCAGCTGAGTCAATACTGATTCCCGTTAATACTTTGCTACTCTCAGAGGCTGCGTTGTACCAGAGCTGTATTTTTTTCTGAAAAAGAAAAATGATAGAGTGAATACTTAGAAGTAAAGCTAATTAAAATGAAGGCAGAGAGAGAAATCTATAAGAAAATATATACAGAAAATGTTTTAGCTTAGCTGGTCTGAGCTCTTTTAGCACTGACCCCATAGGCAAGAATATTTGATTAGTTCATTTTAACATGCTGATTTTGCTGGCACAGCAAAACTGCCCTGAGTGCCTGAGTGGAATCCAGGATCCTGGTCTCTGTTAATGGTAGCTTACTACCCATTAATATATCCTAGAGGGTATCCTAAGTTCAGAGGTATTTTATTTTTAATTACAAGTTCTTTGCTCTTTTATTTTCATGAGCATACACACACGTGCTACCTCTGAATAATTGATCAGGGAACTGTCGTGCTTAAGGATGGACTGTCCCTGGGTTTTGTGTAGGGGGAGAAAGTGTAGAAGGTCTTTACGCTCTGCCACTCTATCTCCAAGCAAATAGCCAAGAGCCATCCCATCAGCTTTTGGAGAAGTATACAGACTGTGAGGGCTGCACTCACTGCCATGAAAAGATGCTTAGAAGCAGCAGGAAAGGTGGTGAACAGGTGGAACCATACATCTTCTTCCTCAGCCTAGCGTGACTTGGGGAAACAAGCCTCACAAAAAGAGCTTAAGGAAGGAGAGGCTGTTCCTGAGGCACAATCCCCACCCCGGTCCCTTCCAAGGTAGTGTAGATGCACTCTAGCCAGGCTGGGGCATACATAAAAATGTGACACCTCAGTCCTTTTGTTTCCAGGCAAAACAGTCCAGAATTGGAAGGGGGAGAGGAGAAACACAGCTAGCATTGCATGAACCCCATTCCTTTGGGTTAGATGATAACTTCAGGTATAGCCCCGTGCAGGGGGGATACGTAAGGTGCATTACTTCAGGAATAACCTCAGGAGGGGTTGTGACTCCCAATTCACAGTTCTTCCTGCCCTTGCTACATAAAGCACAGTGATGACTGCTGGCATATGCTAGAAACAAATTACTACCTTTCAGTCCAGCCACCAGCTCAGCTACATACACCAGTGAATAGGCAGGAAGTAGAGTTAAGACTCCAGCCATTCCTGTCCCTGAATGACCGCTCCTTGGAAGTTCCTTCTTTTTACCAGTTTCTTAGCAATTACCTCAAAAAAGGCTCTCATTAAAAAATCAGACAACTATTATACAGGGGGCTCTCAGATAGGTTTTTTTTGTTTGGTTGGTTTTTTGTTGGTTTTTTTTTTGAAGGGGGGAGCTCAGTTCACTTAAACATTACATGCCGGTGCTTTGGATTCCAAATGATCTTGGAAAAGAGGATATGAAAGATGATTCGCTCCCTATTACTGTCAATGAGGGAATTATTCAGATCAGAATCTGATGCACGACCTTTCTTCACAGGTTCCAGAGAAGTGTTTAGCTCAGCAAAAAAAAGGACGCAAATCAGCTCATCGCAGCATGAGTTGGCACATTTGAAACATTACTATGCAAATTGCATGGGGAACTATCCCTCTAAAGGAGGAAGGAGCCCACAGAGATTTCACAGCTTAATTAGTTTTGTCTTGTACATCATAAGTTTATCTGATTTGTTGCAAGCAGGGGCAAAATGCAGTGCATTTATGGATGCTCACCTATAAACCTTATGATTCTTCGAAGTAATGGGTTCAGGTAGCAGCATTCTCCAGTCAAAATTGTTTTCTCCTGGACAATCAGGGTTTCTCGGGTTGACTTTATGAAATACATGGATATCTCACCAATGAAAATCTAAAGTGGAGGAAACAAAAACAAAAAGGAAGATTAGGAATCATGACATGTACCCATATGTGGGGGCTGAAGTCAGGCCCACAGGAAATACTTTTGTCCCAATTTACCTACATAACATGTTTAAACTGTGTCTTGACAAGGAAAAAAAAAGGTGTGTCCTTGAGCTCAATTCACTAGCCTGAGTTCACTAATAAGCAGTAAAATCCTAGCCAAGAAAAGACAGTTTGTAGTTTTCGCTCATGTTAGTGGGTCAGAGCAAACTCTATCCACCTGTCATCTTTAGCTCCTAGGGACTGGAGTAGACCTTTGCAAGTTTTAGTACAACTATGAAACCCATGAGATGCTGTTTTTATTGACATTTATACAGAATTCATTCATCTGCAGATATTCATTAACATCATTATTATTTAAATATTAGTTCAGAAACTGTTGGTAAAAACACTGGTTAAACTAAGAGAATAAGCCTTCTATTTATCCACACAACACTGGACAAAACAAGAGCACTTGCAAGTTTCCCTCACAACCCTGTACCAGTAAGTAGGTAGGCACTGGAATTGTGCTCTTTCAATTTTTCTTTCCTTTAAGGATGCCAACAAAATTGCTGAGTTACTGTTGATTGGTTTATGGGCATGGTTTATGTGAGAAGACACCTCCTAAACAAGAACTGGTTTGAGGTCACTAAACTCATTTGACACAGGTCACTGAATAGTCGTCGGGTCACCTTTCAGTCTACTGGTTGGACTGAATTTGCACTGGTGGCCTACCAAGAAACAAAGACTCCAGTGGTCCATTGATCTTTATCTCCACTATATTTTTT